TATGAATTTGTAAAATTCAGATCTCACGTGTTGTGTCACCGTTAATCTCACGTGTTGTGTCACCGTCAATCTCACGTGTTGTGTCACCGTCAATCTCACGTGTTGTGTCACCGTTAATCTCACGTGTTGTGTCACCGTCAATCTCACGTGTTGTGTCACCGTTAATCTCACGTGTTGTGTCACCGTTAATCTCACGTGTTGTGTCACCGTTAATCACAACGTAACTGACGGCTAACACAAAATAACAACGTAACCGTCAATTTAACACCGTCAATCACAGTGTTAAAATTATGCACCTTGCCTTCAGGAGAATGCTCTTGTGTCACTTCACACTGAGCAGATATTGAAAAATCTATTGTTTGTGTACTCAGTTCATGTCCTCTTCTGTTGCAGACAGTGTCAGATATTGTCTATGGCACTGAGGGAAGTAGGTTTTCCCTGCACTGCCCTGCACTCTATGATCAAGCAGAGGGAACGACTGGCAGCACTGGCCAAGTTCAAGTCTAACGTAGTTAGAATACTTGTAGCTACAGATGTAGCCAGTAGGTAAGACACACTGTATTTTGTTCACTCCTGTCTCCAGTGTGCATGCTAAAGCAATTGTCCCTCGAACAACTCTAATTAAAATGGATTTAATATAACGGGCATTTTGTTCTGTTAATATGTTAACTTGGTAATACGTTGTCCAATAGAGTAACACAAAGAAGTGTATGATATTAAGGACTTATTATATACGAAAACTTCACAGCATAATTGCATTGAACATGGTAAGAGGAAGAATTGTTGTGGGCGTGTATGGCAGTTGTTCTTTGTTCTGCAGGAAAATGTCCGGCATTGGTTGAAATAGTGTTTAATGTAACTTCCATCCTTCAGTCCTGTTGGCCTTGTTACATTCTGGTGCTTGCACTTACAGAGGGCTGGACATTCCACAAGTAGAACTAGTGATTAACCACAATGTACCCACTGTGTCCAAGGACTACATACATCGTGTTGGCAGAACAGCCCGGGCAGGTGAGTGGCCATATACCGCACTTGTCACAACTTTGTACACATTTTCTTTAGAAAAATTCTCAGATATCAACGGGTGAACACAGAGTAAGTGAGGATGCCGGTGTGGAAGAATTGATTAGCGTACGTTCCTATATGTCTGCGATGGTTCACAAAATAAATGTCTCAAGTTTCTTTGTTTGGTTATACGTGTTTTTAGGTAGAGGCGGACTGGCCATCACACTGCTGACTCAGTATGACATCAAATTACTTCACGCCATTGAGAAGCTTATCAGTAAGTTTGCTTTAATTATTATAATGAAGTGTGATGGAGGATAATGCTGGTAATGAGATGATATTAACTATCACATAATGAGACGCGTTTCACATATGATAATACATATGTATCTTTAAATACTTTTAATTCACACTTGTCATTTAAAAATGAGTGATTTTATATTATAAACTATAAAACAGCTTGGTTCAAACTGGTTTACCTTTCCAGTGTGTCTTTCCTTTTAATAATATGATATTGTTGCCCATAGATAGAGCCACATGTCAGCTTGATTTGTTATTAGTTTCACTGCCTTTTTAAAATGCCTATAAAATGTAATTTTCGTATTATGAAGGTAGAAACGCATGTACAACCGAACTAGTCTTTACTAATTGAATATTAAAGGCTCACAATGTGCATCCAAACGCTAATTTCTACAGTACTAGACTAGCAAATACTTCGTGGCATGAATAATCACACTACCTTATGACAAAATAAACTCTAGCTCCTCCAATTTCACTGCACGTTGTCTTATAAAAGGTATTTTGAAAATACCTCCAATGTTGTTGAAATTCTCCGATGTTGTTGACAGTTTCCCCAATCTCCAAGCAACCGTGCAGCGGTGGCGCGGTACAGCGGTACGGGCGCAGCAAAGATAGAAACATGTGACGTCACCAAACCAAGTCGTTGTTATGTTGTTTGAAACAAGTTAGCGTTGGCGCCTGATTACCTGATTTCGCACCTCTTTCTTGTTGGGAACGCGCAGTCAAATGGGAGGAACTAGAGTTTATTTTGTCATAAGGTAGTGTGGTTATGCATGCCACAAAGTAGTTGCTAGTCTAGTACTGGAGAAATTTCAGCGTTTGGATGCGCATTGTGAGGCTTTAAGGTTACTATTGGGTTAATTATAATCTAATTGTCAGATAAAAATAATGTCATAAGTTATTACATGAAAAACCATTCAGTAGTTATGTTTTCTGTCTAGATGTTAAGTTGGTGGAACATCCAACAGTTGAATCAGATGTCATGAAAATACTGACTGAAGTTTCTGTGGCTGCGAGAGAAGCAGAGATTGTAAGTATCACATATCAAATGTACATGTGTAGGCATTAAATGTTAAAATAGGAATGTCATTCAATACATTCCACCTTGGAAGATGGCAGATGCACATGGGGCATCGTGTAATTTATTAATAGCAATAATGCAAGAAGAATAACATTGTTTTCTCTTTATGAAACTAATGTTGCCTATGCAGTGTAATATATTACTATGTATCATTCATGTTTTGGTGCCTTGTTGGCATAAACATATAATATTTAAAAAAATGAGACAATCCTAACACACCATATTGCATGGATTTGTTTTAGAGATTAGATGAACAGGACTTTGGTGTGAACAAAGCCATTAATAAGAGAAAGAAGATGATTATAGATGGAAAGGTGAGTGGACGTGTCAATGAAATACCACCCAAATTAGGAATTCAGTATCTACCTGTGTGGAAAAGTCGACATGATAGAGAATATTAGAATAGCTATCAGAGTTATTTTCAGGTATATTGGTATTGTGCTAACGTGATATTCTCTTGTTAATTATTCATTAGAAAGTTTATAAATGCATCAATTTTTCATTGAAATTACATTACCAGCTGCGCACTTCCCATTGCTTGTGCTGCCCCCTATGGGTGATTTCTTCTCTTAGTTCCTTCTCTCCTCGTGGAGAATAGGGCTGGAAATCAAATTTCTCCATGATGTTCTATCTTTGGCAGCTCTTTCAGCCTTGTTCAATGTTTAAACCCTAATGTAATCCTTTCGTTCTCCACTGTCCTTCGCCATGTTTCCCTCTTTTTCTCTTCCTCTCCGGGGCCCACCATCTCGTGGGTATTTACATGATTAAAAATTATAAGCAGCTAGAAATATAAATAAATATAGAAATACAGAATATTTAGCATCAGAAAATTTCTTTGTGAAACTTGCAGCAGCATCACGAAAGGCAGCAGGAGCATTGACACGATTTATAGCACATGCCTGAAATTAAAGGCAGTTTTTTCACGTTTAATATTAAAGGGAGAGTTTACTCTAGGTTCTAGAGTTATTTTCAGCTAATTTAGGTTATAATTATGCTACATAAAAAGTTTCATGGTTCAATCACCATTAGAAAATTTTTTTTTAATGTTTTAAAACTAACGACTACAGTTTGATTACAACGACGGTGGCGCCACTCAAAGCGCACGATCTGATAAGTTGCGCAAAACCACTTTCCAGCCAAGGTCTACAGATCGAGGGTGTTTCTTATTTATTCATTTAAAAGCAAAAGGATTGTAATATCTTATAAATGACATATAGTTTCAGTTATAATATGGATAAA